TAAATCAATATCAGCATCCCACACTCTAGATCCAGCGACCTCTGAGAAAGCCCCACTATGACCGCATGAAGCTTTAGGGGGACATCTAGACACAAACCATAACAGTGGTCTTCAGTGTAAGCTACATGGCTTGTGGAGTCCCCCTTGCAGTCCTAGGGCCTAGGCCAGAGGGGTTTTGTAAGGTACTCATGCCTCAAAAGTCAGAGATCCAAACCCAGAACCTCCAAGGTTTCAGATGGGCAAGCTACTGCAAATCATGTGCTTCAGGTCTCAGCTGCTCTGCTAGCCTGGGCCCAGTTCGATATTGAGATCCTTTAGTACATTGGCACCAATGTGGACAGAACCTTGAGCACAGGTAACAGAAACTGGAATTACTGGGCCTGCCTGTACCTAGGGGCCACCAACACATATCCTCCCCTCTACCTGTTCATTTCTGCTGAGGTTGGAAGACCTGACCTCTTCCTTAGGGTAGTGACACCAGGAATGGTGGAACCCGTCACTCCTGCCAAGAGGTCCTCAGGATACATCCAGTATGAGCAAGCAGACCATAGGGAAAGCCTGGTCTTCCTCTGCTGAGAGACCACTCTGCCTAGGACTTTGTGCACAGACTACTGCGCACCTAGCTGATACCCTTGGATGTCAGTCCCCACTGTGGACAGGGAAAGAAATGTAGCATTTTGGGAGCATCAAGCCCCTACTGCTTTAGGCCTGCCTTCCTGCTGACAAACTGGCCACTGGCCAGGGTCTGTGGGGCATCAGGCTTTGGAGTTTCGAGGGAACACATGCCTAGCTCTGTGTTGCCTTGGGCACCAGGCACCCTGCATTCACATCACACCATAGCTCCCACTGTCCTCTTTGCTTTTTAACAGAGATCAAATCTGCAGCCTAAGGTCACACAGCTCTTAAGTGGTAAAAACCAGTGCTCTGGGTTTGTGTATCTGTGAATTCCAAGGTTTCTCTTTTTTTGGTACCAGGGATCTAACTTGGGCCCTTGCGCTTGCAAGGCAGAAACTGGAACCAATGAGTTAAATTCCCGGCCCCAAGGTTTCTAATGTGACCACAGCTCTTCCAGAGGATTTCTGGGGTTTGCTGGGAGTGACACTGTCCGGCCATGCCAGGCAAGCTGCAAAGCTGTATCATAACCAGTGCTGCCTTCTCAGGGGAATGTCATGGAGAATTAACCTGCCAGAGGTCTTGGAGGTAGCCAAGATCTGTCATCAAAGGAAACCCTAGTGTATTTGGATTTTTTGGAGGTCTTCGGCAAGCTTCTGTGATCCCCAATTTTTCCTTTCTTTGAAAAGATGGAATTGCTTCACTGTGGCTTGGCAGGGAACACTTTGTCACATATAGGAGTCTGTGGGGAGAGGATGTGATTCCTGGTGGAAAGTACGGTGTCCCTTTTCTTGATGTGCTTTTCTTGATGTACTTTTCTTGATGGAGAATTGTGGACAGCAGAGTCTCTTGTGGGGATGGGTGAGGAATGGTCCTAACTCATATCCCTTTAATGAAAGATCTGGAAGAGGAAATGTGTCGTGAAAACTCCAAGTCTACAAGGACTTCTGGGGAATGGTAAGCCCAGTTAATGGAATGTTCTTCACTTTGGTTCCACTCTTTGCTAACGACAGCACTTGGTAGCGGGTTTGCTACAGTGACACAGTGGTTCCGTCCATTGGGCACATGTCCATTGTGTGTCTGTTGTGTGTCCTGACACAGTCACATGTGGCATTACTCTGCTTTTAAAAAGTGAGCTGATAAATCTAACACAGGTTTGCTTTACTTACTGGGGCATTGTGGAAATCACTACACAAAGAACCATTTCACTTTTTAATGAAATGAGGCATTTCTTCACATGGTGACTGTAATAATCAGTTCCTCCTCATTGGGTATTTGTGTTATTTTTGGATAACAAATAATATAACGGTGTAGCCTTAAACATCCTCGTATTCAGACATCTGCACTTAGGATGAGTGTTTCTAAGCATGGTCGCCTGGAAGGAAAATTACTGTGTGGAAGGACATATGCATTAAGCTTTTGATCGATGGTCTTCCTCTAATGAGAGGATTAACTGCCTGTAAAAAAAAAAATCTAGTCCAATTTAAATTACCTCCAAGGCACCTGGCGATGCCATTTCCGCAGCCCTCTGCCCACATTGGCTGTTAGTTTCCTACTGGTGCAGGAACAAATGGCCACAAGCCTGGTGGTTTAAGATTTGCCATTCTATGTCTCTAGAAGTCAGAAGTCTCACTCAGGTCTCCCTGGGCCAAAATCACAGTGTGGACAGGGCTGCGTTCCATTTGGGAGGCTTAGGGGAGAATCTGTTGCTTGGACCTATTTTTTTTATCTGCAAACCCAACGATAGCCAGGGGAGCCCTTGAGACATCTCACAGAAAGTCATTCCACCCCCGACTCCTCCTTCCTCCCCTTTCCATTTTTAAAGCCCTGATAATTACAGGAGGCTCCCTGGATAACCCAGGATAATCTCCTTAACTCCAGGTTGGCTGACTATCAACCTAATTCCATCTTTCCCCTTTCATGTAACGTAGCCACAGGCTCCTGGGGTGGATGTGGGCACTTTAGAGAGGGGCACAATTCTGCAAAACCATGAAGATCAGCTTCCTACGTTTTTTTCCATTCGTAGTGAAAAAGTGACATTCTGCTCTTTCAAGCGGCATTTTCTTAACTACTGGTGAAGTTGAATATCATTTCCTATGTCTTGAAGAGGCAAAACATTTTTGTAATTACAATTATTTGTACCCTTGTCTCCTTTTCTACCGGGTGGCTTTTGTGCTCTCTGTACTCCCACGTGAATTATGAATTCCTTAAGAGCAGGGACCTTCTCATAGTCAATTTTGTGTCCCACCCAGAGCCTCAAAATGCATTGGGATTCAGAGAAAGGATTCAGTGCCTGTTGTTGGTCTTTCCTCCCTGCCAAATGTCATCCCTCCTCTTCTGTTCTCTTTGGAAGGAATGTCAGGAAGCTTCTGGGTGAGCTATCAGGGTTGAGCCTCGATATGAGAAGGTGTAGTGGGCTGAGACAAGAGTGTCTGTGATTTCCACTTGGAGCTCTGTACCCACTGGTCTCTTATCCATATTCAGCCAACCTCACATTGAAAGAATTTTTTAAAACTGCTTTATACTGAGGTATGTGCATATGTATGAGATGTTGCAAGTAATCTACAGACAATTTAGAGTATGCAGGAGGATGTGGCTGTGGGCTTCTCTTGCCATTATGGGAGCCTGGCTCTAGCAGACCAAGCGTCCAGACCCCAGCTGTGCCTCTTAACCCTTTTTCTCCTCCGTAAAAGCAGTAGTAGTGATTCCTCACATTTTAGGGTTGCTGAGAAGGTAATGGGAGCCCCCAGCCGCTCCATCAGGGAGGGACAGTCCTGGTGGCTGTCCCTCCAGCACCTTGGTGTTGATCTCAAAAGCAGGCAGAGCTGCAGGGAGGGCACTGGAGGAAGCTGCTGGGCTAAAATGAATGCGACTCTGAGGGGGAAGCACAGAAGAGCAATTCTAGGTCATTGCTAGGATGTCAGGCAATGCAGTCTCTTTTGGCATTTGTTTGAGAAATCACAGCAAGAGTTAAACTGCTCCTCTATTAATCTGGGAGTCTTTTGGAAGTCTCTGGTCAGCCTGGTGAATGGCAGTGACTTTTGCACGCCCAGTAGGCATCTGTACTGGCCCGCTTTCCTTGTCCTTCCGGGAGCTGTGTGGAGGGGTGTCCAATGGCACTGATCGGCTTCCTGGGCCAGGTGAGCTCTGCTTGGTGAGCAGCACATGGCGGCCCACGCTCTGAGGCATGCCACAGTGCCAGGCCCACAGCTGCCTTGAGCTGGACTCCCATCTTCTCAGACCCCGCAGAGTTGGCCCCCGGACCAGTGATATCTTCCCGATGATAGAACGCTTCGCCATGCTTAGGGTCCCAGCTCCTAGAAATCCTGTCCGTACCCACCAGGCTGTGGCCAAGGTTCCTCTGGCAGGACCTCAGGGGACCAGCCCTGGGCACGTAGGTCCAGGCTTGACCACCCTTCCTGGCTTTTCTGAGTATAGCTCCACACCTGCTTTCATAATGGAGAACACCCCAAGACAGAGGGGAAGCAGCACCCACTGTCTGCCAGCACCGTCCACATGGTTTGCTAGGACCCCAGAACTCCAAGCCTGGGGAGAGCCTTCCTCAGTTCTGGCTGTGCATTTGGAGCCCCAAGTCCCCTCCACTCAAGGGCTGCTGCTGGAAAGTGTCCCTCTACTACAACTAGCTGTGTTCCTTCTCCTTGTCCTCTCTGAGCCTCCATCTTCCAGTTGGCAACAGAAGGGGGGCTGCCACTCCTGGGAGAGGTCCATGTGAGAGCCGGGATGTCAAGCCCGGGATCTATGGTTATTGTCCTGCGCCAACGCTGCCAGTTCCTAGGCCTGAGCCTAAGAGGAGCTCTGATTCAGGCCCAGGCAGGTAGATGCCTTCCCTCCTCTGCTGAGTGGAGCTGGCAGCTGTGGGGAGAAGGCCCTGGGCTGGCTCGAAACTGGTGGCTGCCTTTGCCTCTGTCAGGGCCGCAGAACACCACGAAGGGCTCCCCCAGGACACAGCTGCAGCCTTGAGGTTAGAGGGCTGGTGCGCAGCCTCTGTCTGCTCTGGACAGGAAAGCCCGCTGGGCCTTGCTTCCAGCTCTCCCTGTGCATCATGAGGAACCCGGAACCCATTAGAGCTTATTAAACCCATCTGCTCTGAGAGCAAGACCAGCCCCAAGTCTCCAGTCCCTGCCCTGGGCGTGTGGGGAGACTGCACACAGGCGGTGACTGTGTGACTCGGGTGTGGGATCCTCCAGGTTCCAGGGAGCTGGTGAGGGCAGAGGCCAAGAGCAGCCAGCAGACTGGGCTCAAGAGTGGCCGAGGTCTCAGACCTTTCCAGAGCATCCTGGGCCTGCACAGGGCTTCCCCTTCCAGGGCACCGCGGGTCTGCTGCCCTACGTTTCACTGACGGAGCTGCCCTTCCTGCCTCCCCTCAGGAATGCATCATTGACGAGGACTGCGGCCCCTCCAAATACTGCCAGTTCTCCAGCTTCCAGTACACCTGCCAGCTGTGTCAGGACCAGCAGGCGGTGAGGATGCCCAGGGGCCCCCTGGGCTGCAGCACCCTGAGGCTGTGGGGGAGACTTCTCAGCTGAGCCCCCCGAAAGAGCCTTGCAGCAATGGACTGAGCAGGAAGTCATCCCAGACCGGCTTCATCGAAGTCTGCTGCAGACCTGCTGCCCCCTCTGCCCCAACCCACGATCTCTGGTCATGTCGGCTGCATGGATGGCAGAGAAGGGAGGGTGGAGGGGCGAGGAGGTGGCTTCCGTCTGTCTCTTCCCATGGGATCCCATCAGAGATTCAAGGCGGCACATCTGCAGGCCCCAGGCAACTCCCTTCTCCTTCTGGGCCTGCAGCCTACCCGTAGGTCTTTCTCCCAGTCTGCTTAATAAGAAACGGAATGAGGAGGAAGAGGCTAGAGCTCTGCCTGTAGGGTTTCACTGAGAAGCAGGAGGCCAAAGGGCCTCTTCTCCATCCCACAACAAACATTTGGGAAAAAGTCACGGGCTGTCACTCTTCTTGTCATTTTTCCTTATTAGGAAAAATACAGCCTGATTAAAATATAAAGGGGGTCTCGTTACCTGGCTTGGCCTCTTCCATGGCGAGGCAGCTGCTTTTGTTCTTCCCAGCCCACCCTACATCAGCACAGCTGTGGGGACCCCACATTGCCCCCCAGCCTCCACGTCCTGTGTGGCTGCAGCTTCCCGAACTCACTGCCTTCCCATCCTGGGCTTTCCCGGTGGGGGCTGACTCACCGGGTTACTGGAATCGCACGGCTTCCTGCCTGAATCGGCCTTGAGCCCTCCTCCCCGACTAGGGGACTAATGAAGAGCGGAGCCCCAGACACCCTCCTGTCCTTTGCAAAATCTTGAGCTTTGTCAAAAGACTGATGCCGCCTCGCCAGGTGGCATTTTCCAGTGTTTTGACCCCTCACATCTGCACAACGCACTCGACTTTCTCCGAACAACCCCCCACCCGGATCACACCTCCTCCACACAGCCGAGTCCCCAGCCAAGTCCCAGGCCTGTGAGCCATGCCCTGGTGTTTCCTCCCACCTCTGCAGCTCTGCACCCGGGACAGTGAGTGCTGCGGGGATCAGCTGTGTGTCTGGGGTCATTGCACCAAAAAGGCCATCAGAGGTGGCAACGGGACCATCTGTGACAACCAGAGGGATTGCCAGCCTGGGCTGTGCTGCACCTTCCAGAGAGGTGGGTGGGCTTCCCACTGGGTGGAGGGGAGCCATCGAAAGCCTCATCCACACCTGCTCAGACTGCCAAATTATCACAGTGTGTCCCAGCCCCACTAGCCCGCCTGGAGCGGAGAGACCCCATGGCGTTTTGTTTTTCCCTTTGGTATCTGGCTGACTTAAATGCCCGACCTGAGCCCAGGGGATTCCAGCAGCCCCTCCCTGACCCCTTACTCCATTGCCCCAACCCTTTCTGGGCACTGCTCCTCCTGCTCCCAACTCTTGTCCTCACTGCCTGCCCCAGGTGAGGTGTGCACACAGCCGCCCTGTGTGTCCCTCAAGCTCTCCTTCACCATCTCCCAGCTCTCCCTGCCCCCACTGCCCTCCCGGCACCTGCATCCTGGGGGATTTTCCTTAAGGCCCTTCCTGCAGTGCTGCTCTGGGGCTGCCAGTAGCTTCTGTCATCTCCCTCTTCCATAGCCACCCACCTCCCTCACCCTCCTGTCCCCCCACCGTTCAGCCCAGCTTTGGCCATGGGGCCTACTTGGCCCCAGGCTTTTGTCAGTGCTGTGCCCTGAGTCTCTCAGTTGCACCTTTGATCTCTCCAGGCTTTTCGGCTCTCCACACCCATCTCTCCTCTTCCAGGCAGACTCCCTGACTGCGCCAGGCCTCTCCCGTCATTCCCTCCTGAGCTCAGACCACCTTTCTCCTTTCCTCTCATTCCACCGGCTCAACCCTAACCTCACTGGGGGCGGGGTGAGGGGGTGGGGCGCATCCCTGTTGCTGCTCCTCTGTGGTGACCCTGCTGGTTCCAGGCCTGCTGTTCCCCGTGTGTACCCCGCTGCCTGTGGAGGGGGAGCTCTGTCATGACCCTGCCAGCCGGCTGCTGGACCTCATCACCTGGGAGCTGGAGCCTGACGGGGCTTTGGACCGGTGTCCATGTGCCAGCGGCCTCCTCTGCCAGCCCCACAGGTGAGGCGCCTCTGCTCCCTACAGGGGCTGAGGGCAGTGATGTGCCTCAAGTGGGGGTGGGGCCGGAGCCTGTGGAGCTATGGGCTCCATTTTGGGTTGGTTTGCCTGGAGGTGGTCTTGGGCCAGACGGGAGGATCCTGGTGGTGTCAGGTCTTTGTCAGGGGCTTAGCAGGTGTAGACTGGGGGCTCATCCAGATGGTGATTGCAGCTTCCCAAGTGGACGATCCATGGAGGAAGAAGAGCTGAAGGCTGGGGTGGAGCTCAGGTGCATCATGGTGATAGAGAGGAAGAGAAGGCACTGGAGAGGCCATCATGAGTTGGCTTCCAAGGTGGAGCGAGCCAGTTGTCAGAGGCTGCCAGAAAAGGGCTCGGGCGTGGCCAGCATCTCCGTACACCTTCTGGTCCTAGCAGAGCTTTCCAGCATGGCTGGATGGACAGGCAGGAGTCCCTGGGGCCCCCATCGTGCAGCAGGTGTGGGGTTAAACTGTGACCACATCCTCAGTCAGGCTGACTCCCACCTGGAAGCCCAGGTGGACGGGGCTGAGAAGGTACTGTGTGGTCTTGAACTCCCAAATCCAAAGTCCTCAGGGCCTACCCCTGGGCTGCGGAGCCACAAGTCCATCTAGAAAGATAGGACATTCTCTCCTTTGGCCATTCTTTGGCTACCTGGAGATGAGATGTTGTCAGGAGCTGAAAGAGGAGGTGGTAGTGTGCAGGTTAGGCCAGAAGACCCCAAGACAGTAGCCTAGACCTAGAGTCTAGCTCCCCCATCCTAGAGTCTAGCTGGGCCCATGGAGAGAACTTTGGCCGAGCCACAGCCTCATCTTTCCACAGCCACAGCCTGGTGTATGTGTGCAAGCCAGCTTTCCACGGCAGCCAAGACCCCATTGGGGAGAGCCTGCTGCCCAGGGAGGCCCCCAATGAGTATGAAGATGGCAGCTTCATGGAGGAGATGCGCCAGGAGCTGGAGGACCTGGAGCGGAGCTTGACCCAGGAGATGGTGCTTGGGGAGCCCACTGCCACCGAGCTGCTGGGGGGAGAGGAGATCTAGATCCAGACTTGGGCCACGGGTAGATGTGCAGTAGAAATAGCTAATTTATTTCCCAGGTGTGTCCCAGATGTGGGCTGGCCAGGCCTTCCCCTTGTCCCCTTCCCAGTAAGTTTCCCTTTGGCTTGACACAAGGAGGTGCTGTGTGTTTGTGCAGTTGCCCAGCCACACACTGGACATCAGTGTTCTGGGTAAAGTGAGGCATGGCACAGTGAGGGTAGAGCCCAGCTGCCCCGAATCATGGCCCCTTTGCCCCTACAGGTTGGCAGACATTGTGTTTTGGTCTATATCGATTTGAGAATTGTTTGAAGTGGGGATTGGAAAATGAGGTAGAGTCTGCCTAGGATGGGTTTGGGGAAATGTGGAGGGGGGCCCTGCTTTGCAAACATCGACCTGGCCAAAATGCAGCAGGTGATTTGTTTGTGCAATTCTTTTCCTGGGCACAAGCATCTGGTGCTTGATCCATGCTCATCCACTCAGCTGTTTTGTTCACTTCCTACATCCTGTCAGGACAGAATTTTCATACCCACCATTGAGTCACTCTCAGCCTGGGGACGGGAATGTGTGGAGGCTCAGAGACCACAAGCTCCAAAGGAGAGGTAATGATAAGAAAGTGACTGGAAATAAGGTCAGTCATTCCCACAGCTCTGTTAGAAGTAGCAGTGTGGGGTTGCCATCATTCGAGTGGAGACCAGTGGTATCGACTCTGTCTCCCCTTGATGTTTTGCAGTAGTAACTTTGAAGGTATGAGATTAGAGCATAGAATCTAAGCTGACTTGCAGAAGACAGACTTAGACAATTGCCTGGCCCAGATTAGTAATCAGATTTGCAAAATCACTTAGAAAGCAACTGAAGACCATTTTCAAGCACATGGAGAAAATCAGTCCAAGCCAGGCTCTATGAAATATGGTTGTAATATCCAAACCGAGAACGAGCTGGATGTCATTCCGCAAATGATGTTTTCAGGTGCCAAGAATTGTTTCCATCATGTACTCATCCAGAGTTATTAAACTTTAAAGTTGCACATGATTGTATAAGCATGCTTTCTTTGGTTTTAAATTATGTATAAACACATATGTTGCAATTAGAAATCAAGCATAAATCACTTTGACTACTCTTCTGTAGTTCTTGGACTTCTTTTCTTCTGACTTTGAGGAAATATAAAACACTTTCAGTGAGAAAAAAAAAAGAGAAATGATCTATATTATAAAAACAAAAGAAATCAGAAAGGATGTCTTCCATAGAAGCATGTTTCCTAGACACCTGAAGCATACCTCTTGTAGCACCAAAATATTTTAGAAATCTTAGCCATTTTTGGATGGTGTAAATATTTAAGGGTGTAAATATTCCACTATCTCCTGGAAGAACAAATGGAATATAGATGTGTCTTTCCTTAAAAGCCTCTGTTAACAGTCAAATGCATTTCTGGACCCGTGTTAGCCAGCTTTCCCTGTAACAAAATACCTGAGAAAGGAACTTGCAAAGAGAAGTGGTTTGTTTAGGCTGACAATTTTGGAGGTTTCAGTCCATGATCCTGCTGCTTTGGATCTGCACTGGGGCACCTTATGATGGTGGGGTGTGTGGGGGGAGCCAAACCACTCGCCTTGTGGCTGGAACACAAGAGAGAGGAAGAGACTGGAGCCCCACAGTCCCTTCTCAGGGCCTGGCCCCAGTGACCTAGGGTCCACACATCCTCCCACCACCATCCTCCAAAGGACCAAGCCTCTAACATGGGCTTTTGGGGAACACTTATCCCATCCATCTGAGGGTCATAACACAGTAGGATCTTCAAGGACTACAAGAATGGAGCCACTATAGGCTCCAGCAGTGTTTCGGGCTCCAGATTGAACATTCCACCTCCCTACATGAACTCATCTCATCCTAACTGAATTCCATATACATTTCCACTGAACAGATGAAGAAGTTCAGGCATGAAAAGATTGACAGAGCTAGAAGTCTGACTAAAAACAGCAGCTAGTTCAGTATACCCAGGATATCCTGATTATTTTAAGATCAAATATGGAGGTGTCCATTTGTGCCAAAACCCTCTGGGACCGCTCTGCAGCCTCTGTGTCATTCAGCAGTGTGTATGTACTAAGCCTGCTCAGAAGCAGTTCTGTGATGTGCACTGGCATGCCATGTTGGCCTGGGAAGAGTCCTTACCCTGAAGGCATCAGCTAAACCAAGCAATGACACAACAGAAAGAGGCAGTCAGTGCTGCACATGGCTTGGAAAGCTGGGAAGGCAACTGGCTCTTGGAGATGATAGCAGTTTTATCAGGATGCCAGCAGAAACAGGACAGGCATTCTGGACAATAGGCAGAGAAAGATCAGCAAGAGGGTTGGGTGTTGTATAGGGAAATTATGCAATTTGCAGTGGTTGGAAGGCAAGGAAAGTTTGAAGGTGTGTTTGGAGAAGACACTGAAAATTATTTCATCCAACAAAAAATGTGCTGAGCACCTACATGTGCTGGCCCTATGTTAGGTGCCAGAGACAGTGGTAAATGAGATACAGTTAGGCCGCTGTCTCCTGGAGCTCATATGCTGCAGTGATACTACTCCAGTTTGTTACTGAAGCTACTGAAATATAAGAACAGGATGGGCTTTGCAACATATTTTCCCCAAATGCCCGTGGACCACACCTGTGGTGCCTACTCACAACTCATTGAAGTATGCAAGGGTTGAGTGGAGTGTGGTTCTTGAATCTTGTTGCCTTCTCTTCTCCTAGATTGATTTCCCGCCAAGGAGAGTATGGCAGACACTGGCAGTTTGGCTGCTGAGTTCTTCCTGGGTAGGGATAGCCACAGGATTCATTACTGTGTGAGAAAATGGAAGGGCAAAGCTGCCAAAGGGCCTCTAGGAAGGATGTTTCCTCTGTTTGGCATGGGAAAGTGACAAGTCCCTGTTCTAACCTTCTCGTTCCCTGCCTGAGATTACAGCTGTAGGATGTGGCATTTGTCTGTGGGCAGCTCTCTGGGGTCCTGGGACCAGGAGGCTCTGAGGGCATCAATTTCCTTGCCTCTTGTAGTCTCTTTGGGTGGGTCACATTCCTGGGCTAATGGCCCCTTTTCCAAGCCAGTAACAGGCCCCTCTCTTTGGAGTGCCGTGGCTCTGGTTCTCTGCAGCGAGTTTTCCACTTTTAAGGACTCACAGGATTAGGCTGAGCCCTAATCCATCACCTGGATGATGCAGAATAATCTTCCCATGCCAACATCGTTACCTGAATAACATCTGCAGTCTACATGGCATTTGCCATGTAAGGTAAATATCCACAGGATCCAGAGTATAGGCTGCGGGCATTGTTAGGCTGCTATTGTTTTGCTTACTACAGAAGGCTGAGACTGAGAGTCTCAGTCGTTGGCATTGAGGAGGAAACAAATTCTGGTCTCAGCTTCTCCAGACACCTTTTAAGGTAAAGCATCATTATAACGAAAGTTGCTCCTAGGAGGCCCAAAGCATTCCTGACACAGGAGCTAGCTGTCGGCACACTAGCCAAGCCCCCCATTGGCCAGGTTCTCTGCACTTTGTACACAGCCAGGTGGGAGAAGGGACATGGGGCAGGATGGGTTTCTAAACCCGAAGGGCCAGCATCCAGGGATCAAGGCACCTGCGCACAGCTGGTTACTGCTACCACCAGTGTCTCCATTACAAAGAAGCCCAGAGGGAGATGAAATGCACTTTTGGAAGAGTACAGTGGTCAGGAGATAGATTTAACCCCCTGCCACGACTTCCTGTAAAGGAGAAAAAACTAGACTTGCTCCCTTAGCCAAAAACTATGAGGGGAACTTTAAGGGAAACAAACTTTGTACAGGAGCCGCTGACAGCTAATGGGGGAAGCCAAGTCATGTGAACTTGCACCCATTTTGACAGGAAGGGATGAAGCATCAGCCAGAATGGCTGCCAAGGACAGCTGTAGGGGAAAGGACCGGTTCTTTAGAGTCCTCAGTAGCTCTCGAGAGGCAAGCAAGATGGATTCTCACAGCGCCCACATCCCGATAGACAGGAAAAGAGATGAAATCACTGGCTGACTAGTGCAGCATGTGTCAGGGAAGGTCTCCTGCAGGAGGAGGTTAGAAAGAGTAGTCAAGTTTCATGAGGGACCACAAGTGCTGTTCGCAGTCGAGTTCCTTTGCAGACAGAACCTGTAGGGCATCTACCTTCATGCCTGTAAGATTAAATAATGACCAGATGAAAGGGGTCATCTGCCATCAGTACAGTGGTGCAGGAAGAGCAGGTGGGGCCACAGTGCCCTCCCTGCCCACTCACTGCAGGGATAGCACAGCTAGTGTATACTGTATGGGACACAGGGAGCTCTAAATGATCAGACTGTCTTAATAATATAAAGTGACTTGAAAATTACAGGATTGCACCAAAGGCTTGAAGAGCACTCGTTTCCCAGTGGGACGCTACATTAGATGGAGCACAGTTGGCAGCCATTGCTATCACATCTCCAAAAGGCGATTATCTTTTCAACAGGTGACTTAAGCATTTTATAAGAGGCTATGAACAGTGTGCCCTCTGCATGCTGGGAAGCAGGCGAGTTGAGGGCACAGAAAGCAGAAGGAAGGTGGTGCTTGGCTGGCACCTTTAAAGCTATGCTGTAAGGTTCACCAGGAATTTGGACCTGGTGAATTCTTGAGTTGTAACCAATCAGTCAACTCCTCTTGCGCAGCTGAGGGTGGAAAGAGGCAATGCTGTCACAGGGAAGAGGCAGAGTATTCTTCTTGATACTTTTCTGGCTTTCTAGCTTGGCACCTACTGCTAGGTGCATGTTTTCCTAAATGGTCATGTATGCTTCCATGTCTTCTGGTCTTTGTCCAGTTGTCTTGCTTCTGAAAGCAGAGTTGTGAATATTACACCAGTGTGGCCAAATAGCCACGGCCTCCCTCTTCCTCTCATGAACTATTCAAAAGGAGCATCTCTAAATTCATTTTGGACCATGAACTCCTTTGTGTATTTGATAAAGACCATCTACTGGCTCTCTAGAAAATCATGCAATTTTGCATTTGATTTCGGGATTCATAGTTTTATAAGGCTTTTGACGGTCAGTGACCAAAATATTGATTTGTTTTCAAAGATTACACAGAATTGTTTGGATGGTACAGTTTTATTTAGCAAACAAAAAACTCACTGATTCAAAGTATCTCCTATTCCATGTACTGCACTTTAGACTACAATTTGCAAGTCACAAGCGCAAAAGAGTTGTTAGAGCCTTGATGCTCAACAAAGGGACAAAATCCAGAGGGAGAACTACAACACCCAGTTGGGAAGGAAATACTAGCAAATGAACCAGAACAAAAGATTTTATTGTATTCCATACATTCACAGGTCACTTCCCGATTCAGTAACACAGTTGGCGATGCTCAGCTCAGGGAGCCGTAGCTCTCCTGCCCTCGTGACCTCA